AGCCTACAGAAAATGTTTAGCACAGTACAAGGTAAGGTTAACACCAGCAGCAGTACTAATGGAGTCATGAGTTCAGCAGCTGTAGGGCTTCATCCAGACCCAAAACAGATGGTGAAAAACACCCACCTGAAGCAGAATATCCCATTGGATAGTAAAGCTGTGCTGGAGCTTGCATTAATCCAGTAGCAGCATGAACCGAACTCTGAGTTTTTTTCCCTGTTTTTCTATTCCTTAGCTCKTATCTCTTGATCCTTAGAGGACTTTTTGTTCCAAATCATCACGTGCCCCTTCTCTTCTTTCAAGAGCTTCCACAGGCTCCAGCATGGATGGCTATAGCACAGAGTTTTCCCTCCACATGCTGAGATTAACCACTCTGCTGGGCTCTGGATGTTATCCTGCACTGGCTGATTAATTAACCCTCATGCCTGTCCTGGGGGTGCTCCCTCTGGTGCAGAACATGTGGGTCAGCCCTTGAACAGCTGGACATCCCACCAGTATGCCAGGAGACAGCAAGGTGCTCTAGGGACTCTRCCCAACCCTCAGTTTCTGGCTGTGGCACTGATGACCATCACCTTTTCAGAGCCCTTTTACGCAGAGTCCTTCTTTGCCTATAATGACAATCCATCAGCTGATTAACCCTTTCTTCCCAGTCCCACTGCAGGGGTTCCTGGTTTGCAGCAGTGGCAGGATCTGGCCAACACCCCAAGTATCGTCCTCAGCTGACCCCAAAGCCTGCCTGCCTTGGTGAGGGCAGTGTCTGCAAGAGGCACAGGGCTGGCTGCCACCAGCTCTGCCAGGCCATGACTGCCACCCACACAGGGCACCCTGAGGCCCCCCTGTCAGAACCTTGTCATTTTTTCCCAATGCTATTAACAAAAAATACTCCAAAACAAGATGAGGTTGATGGTGGGTTTTACAGACTGTCCAGGAGGAGGTAACTCACAACAGGAGGTGAACTCCATCAGGTTCAAATTCAGCCCCCACAGGAGTTCCTCAGGATCAGTGATGATAGATTACTGCAGCTGGGCAACATTTCAATCAAAACTGTCTCACAAAACCTTATTGAAATTCCCTGCTGAGATATTGTGCTTGTCTTGCATTGTACAGAAAGTATTTATTGAGAATGTGTGATAGGATCACATTTATTTTTGCCAAAATAGCACAAGAAAACAGCAAATCACTGCCTTTTTTAAGCTGTGTCTTTGTCAATCATAATTTATTCAGCAATCACATATTTTACATTAGTTCCCTGTGCTATACGGAATAGCATCAAACACATCATTTTAACCTTAAACATTAGGGTTTGTAAATTGATAATTAGCAGATTTTACCTTCTTCACTCCCCATTTCTACCAATGCATTATGGAAGGACTAAAGAACCAACTAGGTAGGTTTCCAGAAGCCCCGTGTCTGGACTTAGTGACATCCTAACTAGACCCTGCACAGTGTTCCTAGGTCACAGTAATATGATATAACTTATTTTAAAGTATTCTAGGTCTTTTCCTTCTAAAACCAAAATCTGAAAGAGATTAATTTACAGAATTTAATTTATAGCAAATAACAGGTCCAAAACTGCCTATTGATTTATCTGTATTTTCCCCACAGTTAATGTAATGAGGAGAATATTGAAAAAGCCAACATAGCCTTTATGACCACTCTGAATTACTAATGTACATCTTATTAAATATGTGCATATGTTGAACCTCAAAGCATAAAATAATGCACTCTACAATTTTTTTTCTGTTGGCTCACAGCCGACTGCCAGCAGAAGAAACAGTTTCTGATAATTGCATCAAGAGACAGAACTTCTCTTTTCTCAGATGACCTCTTGATGGTCAGCCATTAGTATTTTACTTCCTATGTGTTTTTACAGTGAAAAGTGCCAACACAGAAAGAAAGGGAGACTTGAAACTGCTGCTTGCAATTCGTTCACAGAATCTCTCACAGCCACCCAGGYTGAGCTTTGAGATATTTAAGTGTTYRTGAACATCAGCGCCTTGATGCCAGGCTTTCCATAGGGAGATTAATTAGAGAAAAGTATGGCTTTCTGAGGTATTATTTAAGAACTCAGAACATCAAAGATGTCAAAAACATCAGGACAAAAATGAGTTGCAGTTAATGGGAGACATAGAAGTTAACACAAAATGTTTCCATAAATATATCAAAAGGAGAATGGAGGAAAGTCCAGGCCTATTAACAAAAGGAAAAGGGAAGCATTAACACAGAGAATGATGCAAAGTTCAATAACAGCTCAGTGTTAGTCCTCTCAGAAATGAAAATTGTGACCTGATATTTAAGGCGATTGCTTTGAACAATTGAATGTGTGTAAACTGGGAAGGAACAATTTAAGGAATATATAGAGTTGCACGAAGTGGCAGGACTGCATATAATCCATTCTGGAGTGGTTCAGAAGTTAGAAGAGGAAGACTTTTCTATCAGTCTATGAAACCAAGAAGAATGGGGACATCTTAGAACTCCAGAGAGGACAAGACGCAATACCTGTCTTTAAAAGGCACAGAGACCAGGGACCCAGGGATTTACAAACCTGTCCTCATTTAAATACATGGAAAACATGACAACAAAATATTAAATAGTCAGGATGTCCACATATGGAAGATAATAAAGAAGAACCAAGTGATAATGAATTACCAGTATAAGCTTGTCAAGAATGAAGTTATATCTGACTAACCCAATCTAGCTTAATGAATAAAGCAGAAGCAACAGATCAAGCATCTATAGGTTTCAGAAGGGGTTTTGGTATTATCCTGTATTCTATTCTACTGAAATATGAACAAATAAAGTCACAGAAAAATGCATTGTATGTGCAGGAACTCTGCTATTCCTGGGATAGGCTCAAACAAAAATAAGATTTCTAACCAAAGCATTTGCAACTGACAGTAGTTGCTTGTACTGGGAAGATGAAAAGAGGACATAAATCAAAATATTGGCAATGCTGCATAGCGTGCACTGCAGATGGGTTTTGCTCTCAGTGTAGAACAAATAACTCCATATCCACTAGATCTAAACTCCAGATAACCAGTGTCAGTAAAAGCAGAGATCACTGGATGGGTGCCTGCAATATTCAATGTTGTGCCATAAAGAGGTTGCACCAAGCCTTTCTCCAGATGCTGGTTGAAAATGATCAATAATCAAAAGGCTAAGGGGGTCCCAAGACTGAGGTGATTCTTACAATGACAAGGCWAGCCAAAAGGGAGAATAGAGGATAGACGTATGTTCCTGCATTTAGATATGGGCTAGAAGGACAGACCTGGAGAATGAAAATGTGTTATCCAGTTTAATGCAAATACTGTCTCTTGCTTATGAAGTTATGAAATTGTGAAGGATTGGGCAGGTGTGTTCATTTTGTGCTCATTAATCCATTTTAGGTTGCCTTGTCTTTCAAGGTTCTCAGTCCTACTTGACTGTTTAATTCAGTTGACCTATCCTGCCTGACACCCCTATTATAAATTTTACATTATTAAGAGGTTCTCCTTTTTTCTGCCAAGGTTCAGAGGATGAGGGCTTCTCTAGCACAGGTTTTGCCTTCTGCCTTTGCTGTACTTAGATATGCTCTTCATCTTTTCCTTTGGTTTCAAACACTACAGTGTTTTATTAACACAAAGTACACAAAATATGACCATCATTCTTCAGAAATTCTGCAATCAATAGCCAAATTTCTGTTTGCATATTAAGCACTGACATTTACTAGCCAACCATTCCAGCAAACAGAACACAAATGAGAAACCCAATCCTTTCAGGAATTACAAGTGTATCCCTTTGCACTGCCAAGTTACCAACTGAATATGAGAAATATCTTAATTTAAAATACATTTGAACAGCTTCCAATCAAATGATAATATCAACAGTGGTTATTATATAGACCTGGAAAAAGACAAACTATTTCTGTCACTCAGTCCAGAGAGTTATATGTACAATCTGGGAAGCTAATCTTGCATTGGAATAATATCTCAGCATTCATTATCCAAGAGCATTATCCATTATCAGTACTGAGTGATGCTGCACACTCAGACTCTGTTTGGTTTTAGTAAGATTCAAGTGCACATCTGACATTTCTGCCCGTGACTAGGTGCCTGTAAGATCCCAAGCTGTTCTGATCTGTGGAATGTTTACAGTACAGCACCTGGTTTTCAGACRCTGCTCTTGCACCCAAGCTGGCTGGCTGCAGACAGGTCCTGGTTATTCGATGGCCACGGTCTCTGCCAAACTGCCAGCCCACCCACGGTGTGACTCTTAAAACTGAGCTCCTTGTGAAGATTGTGCTGTTTATCTCTTCTGTGATTTTGTTGCAAAAAGAGACTGTAACACAGAGACAGAAACACACAGACCATTTCAGTGAGGAGCTGAGAAAGGCACACTGCTGGCAAGCACTGATCCTGTGGCGTTCTCAATGCAAACTGGAGCTGCAAACCAAATGTCTGTTTATAGTACAGTCATAACATTTGGGAAAATATATTATGTTCCTTGGAGATCAAGCACTGCTGAACTCCACTCAACTCTCACTCTACAGGGGAGGGTGTAAAATGTTGTAGGATGTGACACAGAAATAGAAACTGCACCATGAGCAACCCGAGACACAAGGTACACCTGTCCTTTACGACACCATGGCCAATGAACAAAGAAGACAAATTAACTATGAACATCCTCAAAGAATTAACAAAGGCTTGCTGCAGCTTCTAATGAATAAGGGCTGGGAAATGCTGTCTTCAGTTAACCCATTCATAACAATGCCTGTTGTTGCTTCATCCCCTCTGTTTTACTCGTCTAAAATTGGTCCAGGCAGTTCACAGCAATGCCGMGTGTGTTTAACATTCCACAGACATGCCTAGTGTCTATGAGAAAGCAATCCAGGGAATTGTAACCCTGTTCAAAAGCTACACTTCTAGGGCATTAGGAAAAGCAGAGATAGCTTTTCTTATTGTGTCTTTTACAGCAATGAGCTACATGAACACATTTCATGTCACCTATTTTTCTCTTCACAGAAATGGTTTCCATCACAACYGAAAATGTTACGCAGTTGTACAACATGACCATCCAGGAGCTCACAGTCAGCCCAGCAAATTCCCACAATAAYTCAGGAGTGGATCAGATAGATCAATATGAATGTGTTAGTGCAGATGTATGGAAATGGCTGCAGGATTTTCAGCCTGGATTCCTATGGTTTATATTTATTCTGGGATCAATAGAAAATTCCTTTGTGCTTACGGTCCTGTGTTTCCACAAGAGTAGCTGCACAGTGGCTGAAATTTACTTAGCAAATATGGCATTTGCTGACCTMATGTTGGTCTGTACTTTACCTTTCTGGGCCATTAATATTTCTAATAATTTTCATTGGCCTTTTGGCCAGTTTCTCTGTAAAGCCATCAACATTATGAGTTACATGAACTTGTATTCCAGCATTTATTTTCTGACACTGGTCAGYATTGACCGCTACCTGGCCTTGGTGAAAACCATGTCTCTCGGGCGGATGAGACGAACCRTCTGTGCCAAATGGAATAGTTTTGTAATCTGGACATGTGCATTGCTCATGTGTTCACCTATGATGGTGTTCCGAAATTTGCAATATTTTGAGGAGTACAACATCACAGCCTGTGCTCTTATTTACCCAGCCAGCTACTGGGAGCCCACAAACAACTGCTTGCTGAATGTTGTGGGGTTTGTGATCCCGTGCTGTGTAATTACTTATTGCACCGTGCAAATCATCAAAGCCTTACGAAGTAGTGAACTGCGGAAAATGAAGGTGGTCCAGACAGAGAGGAGAGCCACCATGCTGGTCCTTGCTGTGCTCTTGCTGTTCATCATTTGCTGGCTTCCGTTTCAGATCAGCACGTTCATCGACACAATCCGTTACTTCTCACCCACTGTCGAATGCCTGGAAGACATCAATGACTTAGTGACCCAGATAGCCACATACTGTTCCTTTAGCAACAGCTGCCTGAACCCAGTCCTCTATGTAATTGTTGGGAAAAACTTCCAGAAGAAGGCTGTGGAATTCTACAAGGACTTGTTCACAAAGAGGTGCAGAAAATTGCAGTCTGTGCAGATGGAAAACTCCCTGGACACTTTAAGAACTTCCATTTCAAGCGAATACCCAAGGAAAAAGTCWGCTTTGTCATTACCCCAATAACAGAATTTTAGGAAATCCTTAGAGGAAGAAAGCCTTCTAGTATATCAGTCTCTGCTCATATCCATCTGCTACTGGTCCACAAAGTAAATATGTGGAAGTGTTGGTTATGTGTGGGAAAACAATGGTTTGATCTTAACAGCAATTCCACAAAGAGACCTGTTTCTAATGTTATTGGGCGTTTTTCATGACTGAAWCTTATTTTGTAGCTTACTTACATTTTCATGGCTAAATAATGTTTAGCACATATATAATTTGGAACATTTGCATTTCTAAGCATACAATTCCCTGAACAGAGACCCAGTACAGAAGCTATTGTCAGGCTTGTGCAGCTACTTATGGTACCCATATAGATTGTTAGATAAGATTTTTGACCTGGGAGAGGCTTGTAYTGGAGTAAATTTATTTAAGTGAATCCTGTAGGATGCATTTTTAGACGTGTCCACATTTTGGGCTTTTGATTTCACTCTTCAGTCATCTGAAACTATATGATTTTTTCATTGACAAGCAGTGCCTTTTTGCAACTGCTCCTGTTAGTTACAGATTTACAAGTATGGAAAGTAGATGAATAAAGGTCAAGCACTTGTGGAAGGGAAGTTGCACCCAGCTGCATGAAGCTAGTTAAGTTTTCTTTGTAGAAGAAGATTCTTGATGCCTTCTACCTTGGAGTGAAAGCATTCACTTACTCCTTTTGAGTGAATGAATGCTATTTACATTCATGCTTTCACTTCAGCTCGGAGACTTGGGTTCCAGTATTCACAAAACATAGTTAATATTTTTAATGTTATTTAATGGATCTATAAAAGCTCAGCAAAACTGGTATAATCTCACAAGTGGAAGAAATTGAGAATATGAAGGAGCATATCACCTAACTATARTAAAAATCTAACTGAAGATAAGAATGGTCTTGAAAGTTCAGAGTATTCAAGAATAGCCTTTTCAGATTCTAGTAATACCTGCATTTTATTTGTAKAGGTAATCTGTCAGATTTTAATAGAAGATAGCTTTTCCCTGATTGGACTGTAATTTTGATCTAAGATGATTATACACATAAGAAAAACTCACAGTGTACTGAATTGTCTGTGTGCACTTTAACCTCYAGGGACTTTGATAAAAACTGAGTGAAAGTGGATCTAATATATGCTGAAATTAATTAAATCCTTGCTTATTTCAAAGCACTTAAGGTTACCGCTTTTAAAGCCAAGTGAAATGGAGTTTGGTGGCTGAGGTAAACTCAGACTGCAGCAACATGATCTTTACTCACCAGAGCTTGGATGGAGCAATAAAGTTCATTTAAGATGGGAAATTTGTATTRAACCTTCAAGCAACTAAACCACTAAACAGAAGTGCCAGACGTGATTTGAAGACTGGGATTTAGACCGGTGTATATGATTTACAGGCAATTTCCATAGTTTTTCTTTGATAATCCAGTATAATCCTATGTCATAAATACTTCCGTTGCTGATCCTTTTTATAGTCTGAAGCAACTGGGGACAAATCTGGCGAAACACTGCAAGGCGTTCTGTTATATTCAATGTTATCATGCTGTCTCATCCATGACTATGCTGTTCCAGCAACCATTATATGAAAGGAACCCCATACAGAGTTATTGAGGCAATGGAAGGTATTTCTGAATATTTGGTACWGAGAACTAAAATATTAAAAGGTTATTATGTTAATAACACATTAAATAATGTATAGGCACATTTTTTTGCTATGCAGTAAACATGTACAAAAGAAAATAAAGTACTTTGAGAAATGAGATTTCCTGGCATTTTCTTCTCTAGCCTGTATCCTGTTACTAAGGATTGATTTCTCAGAAGTTCAACTATTTAAGCTAATTTCTGTCACTTCCCGTCACTTCCCATTACACGAAACAAAAGTGAGCTGAAACAATAGAATTTTAGCTACTTTGAGATCCTTCTTTTCAGGGCCCATCTCTGAGTGATGCCCTCAGTCCCTTTGGAAATTAAAATCTGAATTAAGGCGGCTAAAGGCACTGGAATATTTTCGGTAGCTTTTCCCTTCCTGCTGGTAAGTCAAGGTCCCATGCAGACACCAGCAACAGTGGAAAGCCCCTGCAGCAGCTTCTGCACATCCCAGAACAGACAGAGTGTCAGCTCACAGACTGTTTAATTCACATTTTATTGACTTTTCAGTGTGTTCAAATGACACATTTGTGGTATTCACATGCACCATTCATACAGGCAACCAAAACCCCCCAAGAAATAAAATGTAGCATCCAAGCTACATCTGACCTACTGACATCTTCCAGTCRCACTTGGTTCTGTCCTGCTTTCACAGAAACAGGACACAATATGAGAAGGGTTTTTGGTAAGATGAGATCAGATTTTGTTCCAAGAATTTCAAAGCTGGAAATGCCAAACAGTAATCATATAATCTTTTAATTCSTCTTCATCCTGTCCCCCTCTTACATCTGATCCCATCTTCTCTTTTACCTGAGGCTGCCACAACTYTTACCAAGGTTTTGGCCATGCAAACCCTCAACTCCCCATTCAGCCTGACAGAGGGGGGCCATCGCCAGAGGAATGGCAAGGATATCAACAGCCAGCTGACATTTCTGGCCTTCAGCATCTACAGGCAGGAACAATTCTCATTTCTCCACTCACTCATTTTTCAAGTTGATTATTGGCTTCACTTGAAATGCGAAATTAACAGCTTAAAAGCTTTTACAMAAGCAGCTGGGGCTTGCTGAGGACAGGAGAAAGTTGCTCTTTTTTATTGGCAGGATTTCAGTGGGGAAGTTGGGATCTTAGTTCAGATCTCCCAAATGCCTAAGCAGCCTTTAGCCATTGAATCATCCTTTCACTCCATTCTTCYATCAGTACATTGCTGGTTTTCCAGCCTACATTGGCTCCTCATATTTTGCTGTTTCAACTCTGTAAACTGTAGTTAGTACAACCTTAGTACATCCACACCACAATGTGATGRTACCAGGAGCATTCCTTGAGAATTGTAAATAACTGCACCAGAGTTTAAGCTCTCTTTAGCAATCACTGTAGTAAATGTGAAGAAATCCAACCAAGCTGAGCAAAGAGTTTTACATTAAAAAAAACGTATCAAAAACCTTTTCTCCTCTTTCAGAAGAGATGAACATTACAGCAGATAATTAAGCCAATTTGAAAACCATTTCAATAAAGAAAATCAAACTGTTATACTGGTCCAAAAAGATAATCTGTCCCAACCTTTAAAGGCTTCAGCTCTCTTGAGAGGAAGGTCTTTAATGTCTGAACCGTCAGACCAAGAGCCAGAACTCTGGAGACCTTTGGGATTTTTCTACATTTTTCTACCTTGGAAAGTGTGTAATAATCAAGCAAAGAGTCTTAGCTCTAAGTTCAGTAACACGTTTGTTTAATCATTCTGATCAGAGAGGCTCAGTTAGCATTTGTAAATTCTTATTCAGCTCTAGAGAATGTTTACTTTCTGCAGGAAAGTCTGCCTGGACAATRTGACTGAAGATCATGTAACCCTAAAACACAAACCAATGTGCTGTGTGTGTYCTGAACTGAAGGTGCCAATAGATAGATATGATTTTTACAGTAAAAAAAACCTTTGAGAGCTTAACAGCTCTTACAGATGTTTTTAAACTAAGCCTTCACATTCCTTCAATTCATGGTCCATTACATCCATGTAAACTGTGAAATATTACCAGATCTTTATGTACTTCCTATAAGTTGAAATGAAGAAAGAAATTTTAGAGGAATAATAYATTAAATGCCCTTTCTGTATAAAGTTACAACTTCTTCTGTAGATTTATTCTAAGTTCTGTAAATTCTGGAGCTGCTGCAGTGCCTATTCACTTCACTATTTCTACTAGATGCATAGACTTCCAATTTTGAATCTCTCACTATTACTGAAAAATGTTCCAAATATAGTAATGAAAAACAACAGAAAATAAGAAACTAGATTAACAAAGAGGAGTTGGATATGGAAAAAAACCATATTTTGATCCCATTTTGATGTGATGAGCTTTGTAAGTCTATGTTATTTATCATATGAATTTTAGGCACAGCTGCAGTTTTTAATTCAGTCTGTAAGTTAATGTGGGACTTGGCAGCTCCTAGAGATTCCTGTCCAAGCAAGGACAAATTCCAAACTTCTTGTTATTGCTCAAATGTTCTTCTTTATGGAAAAAATAWCTTAAACACGGAAATGCAGTAGTGTAAGCAAAGAGGAGGCTTTGGAAAGTCTGTGACGAAGATCTCCTGTCATATTGCACTTACCTTTATGAGTCAGYGTGAGATGGTTTAAGATTTTCCTCCCATAATTTATTAGGATAACTTATGTAATGTGTAATTAAAAAAATATTCAAGACTTTGCCAAAGTAAAAATTTTACAAAAACAAAAAAGAAAGAACAAAAAAAAGAAAGAGAAAAACAAACTCCCAAAAAAACCACAAAAAAAAAAAACAAACCAAAACAAAAGACATTATATTTGAGCCATTTAGAGTTTTCTGCATTGTGATGTTGTTCACTGGAACTTTTTTTAATTAATTTTAACACTGTTTGCATAACTAACTTACTATTTTTCAATTAATAAAAGTTTGGAATAAAAGTGTATATCACCATTCAGCCTCTCCTGCCTATTCATTTTAACTTAATTATCAAACAAGAATAGACACACAAAATTGAATAAGAATTGAGAAAGACAGTTGGTTAAGTAGCCAATGGGAAGAATATTTTCCTATAAGTAAAAATTATCAGTTCCTTGATAGTTTTTCATTGGTTTTCTTTTTAAATTAAAAACCCATATTGTTTACATGGATATACTTAAGACACATTTGCATTTAAAGTCTGCGATGTAATAGATATTCCCTTTTTTAAATATTGCTCTAATCAGTGGATGATCAGAATGTAAAAGATAAAAATAATTTATAAACAACCACTCTCAGTCTACATGGTCCCAGCAAGTAATCAGAAAAAAAAAAGAAGTTTATTTGGGTTCAAGCCTGAGAAAATACAACAGTCATCAAGCACTATTGAGAAGCAATATTCACAGAGATTCATGCCCTGGACACCTATAGCGGGGTGTAAAAACAATGCTTTTAAAAACCAGTGGGAAATGGGGTTTAGCAAGGTTCATGTTTCAGCAGGCATTCCCATCTATCTGTGCTGCTTTGCCCCCAGCTCCTTGGCATGGTTCCCCCTCAGGGTTGCAGGGGAAGGAGCTCCCATCGCAACAAAAACCTAGTTCTAAGTTTCTCCCTGAGTGCATTGGCGTTGAGAAGGCAATTCAGATCTGTTAATAAAATTAYTATTGTTACATACTTAGTTATTCACACAAAGGACCTTTTAATTGCCAAGGACTTGTATTTGAGAGATTTATTTAGTGGTCATAGGGTGACAAGAGTCATGACATATGGTTTGTATTATTTCACAATGAGAAAGAAATATTTCACATTCCTTGAAAATTACTACAGCTGACATTTGGGGAAGTTAAAAAAAAAAAAAAAAATCCTGGGGCTTTCTTCCAAAATGTAACATCATACACATGGTGCATGGCCAACAAAACACTCAGGACAGCCCTCAGTCACTCAGTTGTGCCTCAGGATGCATCTTTGAATTCTCTCAGTAACCTCTGCACTGCTGTTGTTCAACTGTTTCTGAATTTGAAACTTTCCCTAAATTGCCAGGAAGGACAAGGAGTAGGTATGTCTATCTTTTTTTAATGTATTATTTTAATGAAAGTAATTTCCATATTTTATCTAAAAAATAATCTCTTGTGCTCTCAGTTCTGATCTGTGCAGTCTAGTAAGACTTTCCCTTTCCTTTTCACCATGAAAGCAATTCCAAAGGTCAGTATTAGATTATGTGTAAAGCCATGATCCATTTTACCTAATTGCTCTAACTGACTAATGAATATTAATAATAATAAGGRTAATAGATGCACTGTGCATGGAAAYTCACCAAAAATCAGTTCAAAGTAAGAAAAATATGTCATTATTTGTATAAAAGATGACTGGAATGTGTTAAGTACAGAAATTGAAAACCATTCATGTGGCTAATTGTCCATTAACACTAAATACCTAAAAATGCTTCCAGAAATTACAGAAAATAAAGTGCATTTTCTGTCAAGAGAACATTTGGAGCTCCAAATTTATAAAAGGCTTGTGGCTTGTGGTAGTGCTTGGACTTTGACTAGCAGACTCAAGAAATTTTTGCAATGAAAAGATTTCTACAGAATCTTCAGGTACCATTGCTAACTGGTACCTAGCTAGAACAAGAACTCAGATTTAGCTGCAACTAAAATCTAAGTTGCAATGAAAAATAGAGGTTCCTGGTGTTTTTAGCTGAGCCCATCATGAATGAAATCRTAGCTCCAGCAGAGAAATCACATCGAAAGTGAGCAAAGTGACTGAAATAACCTGATAGCAAGAAGTCATCAGAAAAAGGGCAAGCCAGGACAATAAACACTTCTTTTTCCATATTTAGTGAGAGAAGTAATTCTGTTAAGTTTAACTGTTATCTTTCTTCTATGTTACTTTTGAAATAAAAAGTTACAGATTTTCTGCCATTGCTCTCTCATGCCTTAGCCAGCCTCCTGTTATAGCAGCATTACATTTTTGCTGCCTCTTTGATGCTAATCAGGCATTTATTTGCTATATGTATTTTATCTATCTAGTTTTAGATCCTCTCAAGTTATCTTAGTTTGCATGAGATGTCTGTGAACTAAGTACCATTCAGACTTGTGAAGGAAATCCAGGGAGCTGTGTTGAGTTGTAGCTCAGTTTTCCATCAAGACTGCCAGCTTGAGTGAGTTTGTGAACTCAGATACAACTTTGCTGCTCACCTAATTCTGCAGTGAGGGAAAAGGTTCTGTGCATTAGCACCAAATAACATGCTGTGGGATATTAGTGTTTAACTTGTTCCTAGTAGAGGCATCCCAGAAATAGTGTTGCAAGCTGCTCATATACAGCCATCACCGAGGTTGTACATATTTGTAAAAGATATAAAGGATGATCCTAAATTCTCTCTTCAGAAACTCATCCTTAGCTGTCTCCTTGGTGTAAAGATACAGGCACTGAAAGAGCAGGGTTAAACAGCTGCAGCAGAAAGTTGACATTCAAAATGACTGACTGCAAAATTTTGATTTTTTTCAAATGCATTTTCTTTTATGATTGACATGCTTCACTTGCATATGAAATTCTGAAATGTTAGGTGACACCACAGGCTCAATAATGACTTGCTCACCATAAGGATTCTGAGACTGAATGTCTGTAAAGACCAGGATCCRGGCACCATTATCAAGCATGGCAACACCAGAAGAATAAAGCAGCTCTGACAGTGTATCTCTGACTGAAAATCTGGTGGATTTTCATGGGAGGATAAGGTTTTACCCATGTTCTCACTTCTGCACAATCTCAGATGGAGTTTCCAGAAAGAAATAGAAGTATTTCCAATGCTGTGACAGACTCTCACTTTGGAGACTGGGACAGCCTCCCTCCAGCTGAACTCTAATGAAACTTTTGAACAGGAGAAAAGTGCTGTGAATTTAGAGCTGTGGAAGCCTTTCCTCCAGGCAAGATTTTTAGCACAATATTTTAAAGGAGTCTATGTTTTATTATTCCAACTGATATTTGAAGGCAATATGATGTCTATTCTAACAACAGCTTTGAAACCAAAGTTCGGGGTGGGGAAACTGAGAAGGAAAAAAAGAATGCAAAGTTCAGGCAGCAAGTGATGCATACAGAGAGTGAGTAGCTTYCCCTTTTCTGGGAAGCAGGTGTGATCCTGCTTCAGCAGGATGACAGTATAATAATATRTTAAAGTACATATATAGTATAGTATATAATACAGTAATATAATAACATACATGGCATGGTAAATAAGAGCAAGAGAAAGGGCAGGGAAGGATGCAAAGCTGGCTTTGTGTCACCAGCATGGCTCCTGCTACTCTCAGGGAGATGGAATTGTCCCATATCTGTGTCTGTCATCAGTCTGGAGGAGACATGCAGAACTACTTACACTAATTTGTCACTTTCCTTCCTCTGTGCTACTTTAAACAATGGAAGCAAGGAGAGGAAGCTTCATAGGATGTAGAGGAAGTTTCATACTTGCTAGTACTAGGAACATTTCTCACTGCTGCACATATCAAGTACAGATTGATCTAGTCCACAATAATGACTAAGGACTAATAAAGAACTTGCAGTGGTTAGACGTTTGTCACACCACTCACAGGAGGCAACTTTTAAAATGTTATGATTCTTTTTYGCAGTCATTTTCTCTGACTTCAAAGGCGCCTCCTGTTCACTTCTGATTTTTTTGAAGAATGACTGACACTCCTCGACTGAATATTTCCTCCTCAAACCAGAGTGAAAACCAGACTAACTCAACTATTTGCCCAGAACTGGAGGACTGGTGGGACATTGTGTACTATATAATCCCCAAGTACATCAACACTGTCTGTGTTATTGGTATGCTTGGAAATGTATTTGTTCTCTTCGTTTATTCACTGCACAAGGGCCCCCTGAAGACAGCTGAAATCTACCTAATGAACCTGGCTGTAGCTGATCTGATCTTCCTCATGTGCCTCCCTTTCTGGGCAGAGAACATCAATAATGCATTTAACTGGCCCTTTGGCAATTTCCTGTGTCGCAGCATCAGCACGTCCATCACCTTGAAYATGTACACCAGCATCTACTTGCTCGTGGCTGTCAGCGTGGATCGCTATTTGACTTTTGTCCACACCTTGAACCACAGAGAGATATGGAGCAAAACCATGACCAAAGGGATCTGCTTGCTCATCTGGTTCTTTTGCATCCTTCTCAGCATCCCAGCTTTCATGTTCCGGACTGTGAAGGACTACCCGCAGTGGAATATTTCAGCGTGCACTTTGGACTTTCCCTCGCCAACGTGGGAGAGAGCTGAGAGCCTCGTACGCAACGTGGTAGGGTTTGTGCTGCCATCCACAGCAATCATCTTCCTCAACTTCTCTACCATTAGATCCCTGCAAAAAACAGCAAGAGCACGAAGAGCACTYGGAGCAAAGGGCTGCAAGAGGCACAAGGGCACAAAGGCAACCAGGCTGATCTTTACCGTGGTACTGATGTTCCTTTTCTGCTGGACTCCTCACCATTTCTTYGTATTCCTTAATACATTATACCATACAAAAGCGATCCAAGGCTGCTTCTGGGGCGAACTGATCAACTTTGGGGAGCAGTTTGCTTTTATGCTAGCGACCACYAACAGCTGCATTAACCCTGTGATTTATGTCTTTGTTGGGAAATACTTCAGGCAAAAGGCTTTGGAAGTTTTTTCACAGTTTATTCCCTGTGGATTTCCTTTGAGATGGGTATCTTTTAAAGAAATGTCTTCAAATTTCAACATGCTTCCAGTCAGGAGTAGTTTTACATAATGGTTCTCAGTTYCATATTTATTTTGATGCTACAACTCAGTTTATGCCATTGTAAATGGAATTAAAATTTAATATGAAATGCACTGATCTGGCCTTGACAGAATAAGCTAATTATCTATTAAAGTAAATCACTTGATTRATTGCTTATTTGTCCTCAGGTTTGTTTTTCTTTTTCTGTGTCATCCACCCCAAATGCACAACATGTGATACCAGATATTTATATCAAATGATCTAACCTGTCTTACCTATAAACAACGACTTCAAAGAAAAACTTTTTGACAAAATGCCAGAAATCTTTCTTAGCAGAAAGCCATAAGCCAGCCAAATAGTTTGCTGCATTGTATCTACGGTGACAGCTACTATACCACCTATAACACTACTCATAAAATTACAACAGGTATTACAGAGCAAATATGACCTTAATATTCAGCTGATAGCTGCATTTGAGCAGGTGTAGAATAACTTTGGATACTTTGGACAATAATTTGTTTGTGTTCTCACAGTAAGGTACAGGAATTTAAATTTTTTTTTTTTCTCATTTCAATTATATGCAGTTCATAAATATTGTACAAGATGATGTAACACAAAGAAACTTGTAAAAAAAGCAAGGTAACATGGTAGCCTCCTCAAAACCTGAGTTTTTTTTATCCAGTAAAGTGTTAAAAAATTACTCATCAAGTACTGTAAAGCTCATTTTTATTTTTTATAAGTGAAAAATATCCAGGCTATTTTGATACTGTATTATTTTGAGGCAAATCCTTARATACATATTTATATTTTTATGACTCAAAGACAATAAACTGCAWAACATCTTATTTTACTTCATAGTCTTGTTCTTTCTTGTTTTTTTATTTTTTCTGTTTTCCCCTCTTCCTTTGGAGAAGAGCAAATTCCTAGTTCTGTGATTAAAAATCCTTGTTGCTGCTAGAACACAAACATTGGTAGTAGAAGAAAACTTCTTTTCCATCGCAACCACAATGGCAGAGTAGACTTATGGCAACTGTTTCCATAATTCTAAAATTATGTGTATGTGCAGACATGGAAGGAAATAGTGTAGCCTGTCCAGCMAGAAGGATATTAAATGCAGAAAGGAGCATAGAGACACATAATTTGTATAGCAATTCATTTAACTACTCCTTGTAAAGCTTGTTCAGTCTTGTACTCGTAACAGCACTGCATTTAGTGTTTCCATTTTGAACATGTACTCAATCTCTTATTTGATTGTAGAAATCTGTCTGTTCAACTTTATTGCAGTAAGATTGGTGTCAATTTTCAATGGTTCTCTCAAACTTTTTGAATCAGTGGAAGCCTTTTGAAGATTTAAAACTCTTCTTGCAATGACGGTTTGAGAATTAGGGGTGGATTAAGGGATCACAGAAGAAGAATCTCTCATAGGTTTACTACTTCCACTCTTTCTGTAACAGATATTTTTAAAACAAATATCAGTCTTAGGCTCTAGCAGTAACTATAGCATATTAAGTGCTCTGAGTCATCTGAAATCAAATTCCTAGTTCCCCTCTATTGTAAATTGTTGAACATAGCATCTATTTAATACATCCACA